CCGTTTATAGCGGCCAGTACCTCGCAGACATGATCGAACGAAGCCTGGCAGGCTCTCAGCACCGGGGTCTTGATCTCAAAAGACATGGTGAAATACCCCGGGAACATCGCGTCCCTATCGTAACCGCTCAGAGCGCATTCCGTGACGGAATAGTCAGAGGATATTTCCCAACCCGCATTCGGGAAGAGATACATTGAGGGGAAAGGGTTGGGTGCCCCCTTTTGTACACTTTCGTTGAGAAGCTTGAAGCCCTTTTCTCGGAAGAAGTTCTTCATGTAGTCTTCTGCGAACCAGTCTGGCGAAGACCGGTCCCATGCCTCCTGGATCTTGTCGTCTACCTGCTCAGCTTCGTACTCGGGGGTATAAACTGGAACTGCGGGTGTTGTCTCGGGTCTACCTTTTCTCCTCCAGTTCATGATGAACTCGAATTCGAGGCCGAAGGACAGGCAGTTTCCTGTGTCTTGGGCGTAGTATTCGGCATCGTCAACAGGTGATTCACTCTTTGCTGCTGGAGTTTGCCAGCCGTCTGTAGGTGCTGGGGGGCCTCCCCAGGGTGAGTATGCGGTGTCTGAAGAGCTCATCGTGGCGATAAGAATGCAAGATTTTCCTGGTGAAAATAACTGTAAAATCCAGTTGGAGATGTCAAATTGCGATGTAGTCACTGGGAAGGTATTGGGAACAGACATGGTGTGATTTATATCTGTCCAAAACACTCAACAATGTTCTTGTTCATCAATAGCTATCTCTCATCAGGGGCTGCGCACAACCCAATAGAGCAACCTTCGGGAACCAAATGTATCCAAACACCGAAATCCCAACCGGCCTCGAATCATGAGGACAAAGAGGTATCATTGCACCGAGCGCCCGGCCTCGACCGCGGTGGTTCACAGAACAAAGGGATGAAGCTCAATCGCATTGTCAATTCTTTGTACGGGAATGACAATCGACAGATCAGAAATACAACACTGCTCAATCTCAACCTACTCGGTGATTCTTTGTACTCCCTCCCGACAACAAAGACCCAACGCCATGGCGGAAGCCAAGAGCGAGAATCAGGGGTAGCCCCAAACCAGCCACACCAGTGCACTGCACCAATATTTCCCAAATGACATCTCGCCGGCCAAAACATGAATGCCAGTCATATCTGACAGTTTGCACCTCTAATAACACAATAAGTCTTCCCTTATCATGACCCACAACATATTCCGACCAAGCCCCCAGACCACCCCTGAGACCCGTTCAGGGGTATGTAAACAAACAACCCCCCCTGCCCGTCAGCGATCAGCAAGCACCCCCTCACAACCAATATCCCTGATAACTTAATCCACAGCAGACTCAGCAGACAATACGTCATTCATGACTTCGTATCACCGATGCCTTTTCAGAACGGCAAAATACACCTACAAAACACCGCTACGCTCAGCTTTATGACAAAAATGGCCTTGCTGCCATTTGGCAGATCACAGATGAGATTCTTGCAGGCCACACCGACACTTTGCGCATGATCGAACGGATGCCAGTGATGACGCATCCACACAGCCAAAGGCCGTTGCGGATGTCACCGACGCCTAGACGAGCCAAAAGAGGCGTCCTGGGATGCAAGCCAGGCCTCACATTCGGAAGATTTGGTTACACATCCCAAAGACCTCGGTGCCCAGCCAAAAGGCTTATAATTGAGTCTTGTTTCTGATAATAAAGGCGTCCCTAGCCATTCTTCTTACCGCCAAAGAATGCAAACCAGAGGGTCCAGCTGTTCGTCGCTGAGCGTCGTGACCCTCCCCCTAGCCCATGAAGTCCTAGCCTCCAAAACTTTCCGCGCAAGTACCCCGTGTTTGAGGAAAAGCTCGTTCCAATCATCGGGATCTTCATTTTGGTCTGTGCATTCGGGTATGGGACCGTGAAGACTGCCCGCAAACGCAACTTCTGAGACTTTGTAATGGCATCGTGCGACGTCGCCAACCAATGTCTTTTCCTACGGTTTTAAAACTTTAATAGCCTCCTCGAGGGTGTACCTGTATGTGGTAGGTAATAAGCATCAGCGTATAACCCGGAGCCCGTGCAACCTCCTGGTGGTCTTGTCAACTTGCCTTGCTTCTCTGAAGTTGTTCAAACCGAACTGAGCACACGCTGTACGGTAGAGGCATGCCCCGTAGAACGGGTCACCTGTATTTGCCTTGGCAATGAGCCAAACTTTACTTGCATATTCGAAGCTAGTGAGTCCTTTTTTGAAATGATTCCGGCGGAGCTTGGTTTGGCCGTAACAAAAGTAGAGACTTGTGAACGTCAGCCTCCATCCCTCCTCAATCCCATTGGCTTTTGTTTGTTTTCAGCTCACCATGATGTGCCTTTGATAAGATCTCTTCGGCTTTAGTTGCTGCTAAAAACATGTGTTAGATACAATGCCTTCAGAGAAGCACCGAACGCCTGCACCGTAGGGCTCAACGTACCGTCTCCCCCCACCTAAAGGAGAATAGATGCCTGGCGAAGTGCAATTTCGCTATGATACACGGCCGCAAATAACGCATGCGAACGTATCTCATCGATGAGTTGGATGGCCTCTTGGTGCCTGTCTCCAATCACCGCTAGGCATGTCGCCTTGTTGAGAAGCACCCAGCCCCATCCGTGACGATCCTGAGGTACCAAATTGACTGCCGTGTCCAGAACCCGCAGTCCTTCCTCTGGATCCACGGTACGCATCAGCAATTGACCTTCGTGGTTGAATATAGACGCCCGGAGGACATGAGGTGCCGGAGGATTTAGCCCGAGAATTTTCCTGTTGCAACGTATGAGGTCGCGAAGCTCCGTGTACAAATGAGCTTCCAAGAGGTATCTGCCGAAAGAGTTGGCAATTGAGTAAGGTACTTAAATATTCGGCCTCTGAACTCACCGCTGACATGCCGTATTCAGAGCAGCGAGGGTCTCTGGCAGCATTCTCTGCCCAATCTGGGGGAAAATAAATGGAGTCGATCATGGCCTCAAAGCAGTCTTTCAGACTCATGACGTGTGGAGTGAACTCAGTACACTTTTCCCAGAAGCCGGGGTGGAAAATCGTCACGTTGCAGCGTGGAGAGGCTTTAGAAATGAGCGCCACTGCATTGTTGAAAGCTATTTTGGAACGGATTTTTGATGAAGACTTCAAGGAAGTATTCCGCATAAAGAGCCTCTTAAGAGCCTCTATAACCGTTTGGGTGATTCTGAAGTTCTCAGACTTGGCGTCACTTGTTACCAGAGACCTTTCTAGCAGCTCTTCGATTGAGCCGTTCGAAATGTGTCTCTTCGTGGAGTCTTCCCCCAACCTTCTGTGCTGGAAGATCAGTAAAGGCTGGCCAGGCGGGGCCAGCAGCTTCAATGGTATCCTGTTAGGATGCAGGAAAGTCATCGTGCTCAGGACCGCATGAGCCTCCTGGCTCAGCCCGAGGATGGAACACCGTAGAAGATGTTCCCGGAGACATGTCGGATTTTCCATCTTATTATCGCCAATTTTAATCATCCTTACCCCCTGTTTTGTTGTCCAACACGACTGCTCACCCACTGGGATTGCTAGCTCACCTTTACGCCGCAAGGCGGTCGCAATACTCACAAAAAAGGCATTGCCTTTAAGTTTTTCTTGTACTTGCTGTATAGCGAGGTCATCCAGTGGCTCGACTTCCGAAGGTTGGCGTTCCAGGAAGTGCTTGACGGTATTGGTATCCCAGCCTTGGATCTCGATATGGTCTGGACAAGCGGTGGGCCTCTCGCTTTGAGTGGTGATAAGAATCCGCCCCTGACCACCAACTTTCGGCGGGCTCTTCGACGAGTCCCCGATGTTCCACACTGGCCAAACTTGATCCACCAACTTGGGTGTGCCCGCATTGTCGATGACAAGAAGCCACCTCTTGTCTGCGAAGGTGCGTTAGTGAATAAGAACTGCAGACTTGGCGACTGGGTAGAAACATACTGGCGTATAGGGTCCAAGTAACAATAGTCGAGTGGTTACGGGCGTGGTCTTTTTGCATCGGGTTGTCTGGGAGCTTGTAAGGCAGGGGCCATGATTCAGGCAGCCGAGTGCTGATTTCTCTGAAGCTCTGCCTGATCGGCCAAGTGTCTGCGCTGCGCACCCAAAGAACTTTGTCGATGGCTCCCTGCTGGAGCTTCTCGAAGGCGTATTGCCACGCAATAGTGGGCTTGCCTACGCCCGGTACCCCGTGAAGTATGACGGCTGGGATTCTGGCGAATCTTTGAGCTATGTTGCAGGTACCGAAGTGATAATCGATGACGTTGATATAGTCGTTGCGGGTGATATGGCCGTCTCGGTTGAGCGAAGGGAGTCCGCATGCTTCGTAGTGCTGGGGGTCGGGTGCTGCCATCTTGAAAGATATTCGATCTCTGGATAATCGATTGATGATTTCAGGGGAAGCTCAGAAGCCTCTGCGGGTACCTACCTAGCTTTGGGAGCTAAGCGGGCCCTCGCTCGGTCGTGTATGGTCGTTCTTTCCATGTTGTGCGCAATCTTGGAGGCCCCCCCCGCATGTAAGCATGAGCGACGGAAAGACAAAGATCGAGAACTCGCCAATGTACTGCCCTGATCCCATTGCAAAGGGCGTTTTCATTGTAGTTCACGTATATTGGGTTCAAGTATTGCTGTATTTCTCGTCACCCGTCATTGACATTCTCTGCTGTAGCTCTGACTTGGGATTTACATCCCTCTCTAAATCCCACCGTCACTTCCCCAACTAGTTAGTAGGCATCTCACTTTCAACCCCTCAACGCACGGCTTCTTCACCTCCGCCCAACCGCTCTCCTCATCTCTCACTCGCTCCCCAAACCCATGGACACCGACCAGTTCCCAATATTACCGTACATCCATCCAACTCCAGACACACACAGAGATATTCAGCACACATATCATCATCATCCAACCTCCCTCGCCCTCCCCTCCACCAAAACAAAACAAAAGGAAACACCCCCCTTCCTTTCCCCACCCCCCAATACCAAAAAATGAGGCACCTGCCGGGAATTGAAGCCGACGTGGGGGTCGAACCCACAACCTTGAGATTCCCGCATCTGCCCTATCATGAATCTTTGTTCACGATCCCTTACTAGTGACACGCTCTACCACTGAGCCAAGCGGGCAGAATTGCCCACTGCCAGAATTGAACTGACGACCTTGTCATTGGATAGGGTGGGCGTCGAGTAAGAGTCTCACGCTCTACCGATTGAGCTAACCGGGCGATGCCCTTGTGAATTGTTGAGATGGGCGGGGATTATTGTGGGATGTGAGTGGTGATTGTGTGTGTTGGCCGTGGAGATGGTGTTTGGTGTTGGCTCGGGGGTGTTTTGCGGGTGGGGTTGAGGCTGGTTGGGATTCAGGGGTCTCCCGCCTTGATGGCGGGTGGGGCATGGGAATGGTTTGTTTTGTCGCCGTGAGGCACATCGTCTATGGGCAGAAGAAGAATCGTTCACGACAGGTCGAGAAACGATATTTCGGTTGCGTCTCCAACCGGTGACAGGATCGTCTGCTCGCCATCGGACCCATCGGCAGGGCCCGGAAAGATGCCAAACCCCTTTTGTTTCCTCCGGGTCGGTGAGAGAACGCTCAGGGGCAGGTTGACGGCATGTTCCTCTGACAGGTGCGGGCACATGGCCTCCCCGACTGACGCCCTGTGGCTATGAAATGAGCAGAGACGGAAGCCAAAGAATCGCTCGCCGCTTCGCAACTTGTTCATCGGCAGACGCAGCTGCGGGTTCTTAATGCGCACGTCGGCCTTGCTCTGCGCCATCTTGTCCAAATGGACCGAATAATCCTCGCGCAGTGCTGGGTACGCGGCAAACAAACGCTCGTAGAGAGCTGCATCGCTGTTGGCAGCGTTGAGAGACCATGCGAGCATGGCCACAGCCCACTTCCGCAGCCTGAAAGCGTGGTTGGCGTCGCATTCTTGGTAGAGGAAGGCGAGGAAACGCGGCGAGACATCCAGGTCACAGCGAAGGTAGAGATCCTGGAGTGCATCCATGGCGACATCTTGGAGCGCCGGTAGGTCGATGACGGCTGCAAAGATGTGTAGCCGGGTTAGATTCCAACGCAAGGATTGCAGCTTCGGCAGCTTGGCAAAGGTGGATGCATCCCGAGCCACCTGCGGTACTGCTTGGTCGACCAGGGCGAGAAAAGCCCGCCTTCGGTATAGCCACAGCACGAAGAGCTCGAACATCTCCGGCGTCTCCGTTGGCAGCCACATCATGGAGTCCTCCTCCTGCTTTCCATCCTCCGGATACAGCGGCGACGGTGAGGGCGTGTCGAGATGCTCGCGGAAGAAGGAGCTCGTTTCGCAGAGGATCTTTCGGTTGAGAGTGAATTCCCGTTGCTGTGCACCAACCAAGACCTTGACCTCTTCAGAATCCAAGATGTTGAGCAGGACGCTGAAAAATGTTAGCAGCCACATGTCTGCATGGCAAGGCAAGGGCCTAGACTCACGACCCATCCGACTCGTTCCCATTCTCCTCCTTCATGTTGAGCGACAGGAATGGCATTGCGAAAATTAAACGATAGAAAGCAAGCAAACTAGTTGCAAGAAGAAGAGAAACGAATGAGGTCAACTCCAAGAACTGCCGGCGTCCTGCTGCAATCGCAAACCAGACGAAAGCAAGTCAAAACACAGAGATGGGTTTGATCCCTTCTATGTAGGTAGCTCCCCCCAGGCGTAAAAAAGAAAGCTCTATCAACGGCTCCATCCCGTACGCCATCGTGTTTGAGCCATCCGTCTTGAGCCCGGGTGACAAGCACCAAAGCGTAGAAAACCAGGGCTTGGTGTTTCGTCGCGTGTGAGTGTGAGCCGCCCCTTGCATGAATCCCCCCACCCAATCCCTGGTTCGTAGCTTTTTTAACCTTTGCCCCTGATCGCCGAAACACCCCAAGACCCGCCCCGCTGACTGCCGAGTTTCCAAATCCCCGCCGCTCCGTGTTGCTGGACGCGATGCGGCACGGTCACAGATAACGAATTGCTGTGCCATCCCAGGTGCACCTCGTATTTGGTTCCTGATCTTCGGATTGGCGAGAACCTGGTGTCAATCATCGGGAAGAACCAACAGACGATTTTTTCTGGAGTGCATTGTGATGGATTGGCTGTGAGGGACTGATTTTTGGCAGGCAGCACCGCCACCAAGATCTCGAATCTGCGATCTTGTGATGACTCTTCGGTTTCCATTCGACGGTGATGATAAAGTAAGGTGAAGACCCGGCTTGCATCTGGTCGCTATGTCCGAACGTCAGCAGTCACCTGAACATGAAGTCCATCGCGGCCATCACCATCGTCCTCCTCTTTGGTGTTTCGGCCTCGCATGACGACAGCGACACCACCCCTCGTCTTCTTGATGACCACGATGTTGCTCCTCTAGCAAGCATGACCACTGCGCGGGCAGTCGGAAACTGGCACCCCATCTACGGCACCCTCTCGCCGGAATGCGCTCACTGCCTCGATCAAGCCCCCTTCAGCTGCCCCGGCGACCCCTCATCGCAAGAATATGCCGATTGCTTTTGCAGTCAAGATCCATGCCTGAAGACCACGAAACCTTCTACCACTATTTTGGTTGGCAAAATATGGTTTGCCATCGCGAGGCGTTAGCTAAATACTTCACCTACTGCATGCCCCGCGTCGATATGTGTGGAAGTGTCCAGTATTGCATGGCCCCAAAGGCACTGATGGAGAAGCACTGCCCTGAACAGACGGAGGAAAAGGTTCTTTCTAGGTTGCTTGCTGATATAGAATCCATGAGGTGAGTTTCGTGCCAATATTTGTTGGGGTGTGCTGACAGCGCCAAGATCTGAGAGAAGTGCTTCGACGGAAGCAACGATGCTGCCCCTTCCTTCCATTGCTGCAAACACATCAGAGGGTTTTTCGGCATAATTGGCCATTTCCCCATCATCCGTCGACCTTGGTCAAACATTCCAGGTTCATCTGAACAACGAACAACCTATTTTCATGCGTTTCCAACGCTCGGGCCAGAAGTTGTTTCCGTGGTTCGCCTCCAAAATTCCGGGTTTCGAAGTCATGCAAGACCCCGCTGTTTTCATTACCTGGAGCGGTGTGAAATGGTTACGATGACGAAGAAATACGACCAAGCGCTCAGACTCTGGGTGCCGGTGGACGCCAGTGTCAACCTCACCGGCGAATTCGTGTTGAAAGGGTGTTTTGATGCTGATTCCTGGTGTCGTAGGGAAAAAGATGCAACTTGCGTACCCTGCATCGTCTAGACGGATTATTGGCCCGATCTCAAGGCCGTGCAGCTCATCAACGCCCGCAATTGATACCTCAGGCTTACTTTTTACGCACCAATTCTCGTTCCCGTACATACTATCATCATTCGAAGCCACAATATAAGCCCTCAATGTTAAAGCCCTTCCATCGCCACACCTCCCAACTCAAGGCATCTTCCCTATCGATCGCCAAAGAGCCCCAAAAGCTTGACTCGACGGGTGGGTCGCCGTTGCAAACGCCTTGGCAACGCTGCGGGGAATCGTTTCCCCTCCATCACGCCAACTGAGGAATTACTCATCAAGGTCCACGATGCGAACGCGAGATATGGAGCTTCAAGGTGTAAATACAGGGCTTGATGGCGTCACTAGACGGTGTATATAAAAGGGAATATCCCTTGACGTTGAAATCGATATTATCTCCGAATCCCCGGCGTATCCGCACTTTCAAGCGTGGCCACCACCATATCAGGGGCGTCTTCTCAAGTCACTCACTCTCTTCACTCTTCACCCCATCAACACCACAACCTCAACATCACCACCGCCGCCATGTCCGACACACAGCCCTACTTCACTCCCTCCCAATCTCCCCCGGCGGGAACCCCCCTCTCCACCACCACAACCACCGGCTCCCCCCTCCCAACCCTCTTCACCCCCCTCACCCTGCGCTCCCTCACCCTCCCCAACCGCTTCGCCGTCGCCCCCATGTGCATGTACTCCTCCCCGCAAACCGGCCACCTCACCGACTTCCACCTCACCCACTACTCCGCCTTCGCGCTCCGCGGCGCCCCCCTCACCATCCTCGAAGCCACCGCCGTGCTTCCCAACGGGCGAATCTCCCCGTACGACTCCGGCCTCTGGGAGGACACCCAGATCGCTCCGCTAAAACGCATCGTAGAATTCATCCATTCCCAAGGGCAAAAGGTAGGAGTTCAGCTCGCGCACGCGGGGAGGAAGGCGAGTATTCTCCCTGGGTGGGATGCGCGATGGCAGAGGGGTGTGAACGAGGTTGCCGCGGTGGAAGATGGGGGGTGGCCGGAGGAGGTATGGGGCCCGAGCGAGGTGCCGTATTCGGAGGTGTATGTGAGGCCGAGGCCGATGACGAAGGCGCAGATAAAGGAGGTGGTGGAGGGGTTTAGGGAGGCGGCGAGACGGGCGGTGGAGGCGGGGGTTGATACAGTGGAGGTTCACGGGGCGCATGGGTATTTGATTTCGGAGTTTTTGTCGCCTGTGAGCAATGTGAGTGCAGGTGGTTTTGTTTTGTTGGGTGCCCCTTTTTTTCTAGGCGGGTAGAAGCTGACTTGAGGTGCAGAAACGGACGGATGAATACGGCGGGAGCTTTGAGAATCGAATCCGGCTGCTTACGGAGGTGGTTACGGCTGTGAGGGAGGTTATTCCGGAAACCATGCCCCTTCTCGTTCGCGTGTCGGCGACCGAGTGGATGGAGCATACGGGCCTTCCGTTCTGGGATGTTGGTCAAACAATTCAGCTGGCGAGGCTGCTTCCGGACCTTGGGGTTGATCTTCTGGATGTCAGTTCTGGTGGAAATCACCCTGATCAACAGATCAAAATGCATTCGCATTACCAGATTGATATTGCCGCGAAGGTCCGAGAGGCGCTGCGAGCTGAGGGAAAGAGTTTGTTGATTGGAGCTGTTGGAATGGTTACCACAGCAGACCTGGCGAGGGAGGTGGTTCAAGAAGAGGGGGTCGAAGTTCAACTGGGGGTTGGCCTGAAGGCGAAGGCGGATCTTGTCCTCGTGGGCAGACAATTCTTGAGAGAGCCTGAGTTCGTGTTGAGAACAGCCCACGAGCTTGGGGTCAAGGTGAAGTGGCCAGTACAGTACGCGAGGGCCCCCTTTTCATAGTCACTGAGGTTCTGGGTTGTATTAGGTCGAGAGATTTGTACATACAAAGGGACATCGTTAGAGGTCACCATCACCCTTCGGCGCCTTGACTTTGCGCGCCAACTCGCTCTCCACCATGG